ATGACATGTCAACCAAGTCAGCGAGCATATCCAGCCGATCCCGTTAGTCGCCTCTTAGGACAAGCATGGGTTACTGAAGATCAATTCTGATCCGGATCTTCACGGGTCTTATCGTAATTAAATGGAGACATAATAACGTTGGAAGGTCCAAGATGAGACTGACGTTTTAGGCAATAAATCTCTTTTTCACAGTTCCGTTGTTCGATGATTCTCTGTGTTCGATGAGGTGCAAATGTATGAAAAACTATAAAGGACTTCAGTATATATGAGCTGTGTAAATAACAACAAAATATAAAATATTTAAACGCATACAGCTGCCGTTACCATTATTTGAACAATTATGTCTGCTGTAAATATCACGTGATGTTCCATCGACGTGGAGGCGGTGGGGTAGCCTAGTGATTAAGGCTTTGGCTCGTCACGCCGAAGACCCGGGTTCGAATTCCCACATGGGTACAATGTGTGAAGCCCATTTCTGGTGTCCCCCGCCGTGATATTGCTGGAATATTGCTAAAAGTGGCGTAAAACCAAACTCAGTCAGTCAGTCAGTCCATCGACCTCACATGCTAATTTACGTTTTCGTTGAACTTGTTGTATTTGAGGGACTGTGTCAAAGTCTGTGGCTTTATAGAAATGATTGTTTTAAAGGTCACATGCAACCAAAAAATCAAATATAATTAAAACACAATTATCACTTCTTCGTGACATATAATATGCATTGCTGATTATGAAAAAACAAATAAACAAAATTATAAGCGTATAATCGCAAATCAAAAGTGCAATATTGTGTACTTTGGTTTACCTCCCTCGAAACGAAGCAGCCGGGATACCGAACCCAGTCATAGCGGGTGGGTGTGCACTCAAGTGTAACGGCATTATTTAGCATTAGCAGATGCCGCCTTCACGGCTCATTGTGTGTGTATATATAGAGATGTTGGGTTTTGTAAATACATGCTCATTTTTTGTGTATAACATTTTGCAATCAACAGACATCATAACATGTCATGTGTTCACTATCACACCTGCCTGTCTGTGTAATTACATAATGTGACAGAGACCGAACTCTGGCCTATAAATCAATGCATTTTGTTTATGGTGTATAGCCTGATTGGTGTTAAGTTCAAATTGCATGTGGTCAGTGATAGCAGATGTGTATTGAATATTGTCATTAGCAGACAGGCAGGCAGACACATAGGTGCCAATAAAACAAGACATGAGTTTTGTCTGTGACAACGACATATCTATATCACAGTTAGAAATTCTGTCAACGCTAAATAATGACATTGCTTTTAAGTATCGAACTGAGAAAGTGACTCGGTAAGAAGAACGTGTGGTGAAATTATATAAACAGTTAATTTACTGTCATAATATATAAAAAGCTCGCGCCTGTGAGATATCAACAAAAACATTAGAAAAATAGCTCACACCAAAGCCTTCACCGAGTATTCACCCGACAACCCGCTTCCAAGTTGTGCGAACCTATTTCACTGCGCACGTGCTATGAGCGCAGCCTAGCTGTTGAAACCCGTTTTCCCCAGAAAAGTCTGGGGAAAATTAGTGAAACGTTTGAACTCCGATTTCGCGCGGTTTGTTTCATCGCGTTATTTTTCAACTTTATAAGTTGAATTTGCATTTTTGACGCTTTGTTTCGGTTAGTCCATACCGAAAGGTATCAGAATCTGCAAAGTTGTGTTTTACGTTGCATGTGACCTTTAACTTGTGTCTTTCGGGTGGGGTTTAGACACAACCTCAGTATGACGCGTGTTTTTCTCTTTTTCTTCTGCCTTCGAAACTCAGAAGGATACCTAATTTTCCTGTCAGAACAACTGCCAATCTAAAAAATAAAGACTTTTCTTGCGCTAGACTATATTTTCACATATATGCTGAATTGTATAATAAAAAAATATACTGAACCACAAAAGAAATGTCGCACCGACAGCGGTTTCTTCAAGCACACACTTTATTAACAATCAAAACGGAGGATTGTGTTCAAACTTGACCATTATGGTTAACACATTTTCGGGAATCACATTTGGAGTTCACACAAACAAAATCACCAAAAATTGTACCATAAAGATACCCCAAGGTCAGTATTGTTTGTGGTTTCCATCGGCATCGATGAAAGCGTTGCATCGCCTGTACATGGATTAGTCGGTTGATGAAGGGCATTGGGTCGATAGGCACTTGGGTCCATACTTTGCGAAATGCCTGATCGAGTCCAGCCGCAGTTGTCGGCCTTGGTTCGAGGTCATTCAGTCTTCTTTGAATCTCGTCCCAAAGTTGTTCTATTGGACTTAAATCCAGACCGAGTGCAGGCTATTGTAGGGTTTGGATGCCATGCTGTCTTAGGAATTCCAATGTTGCTCTGGCTGTGTGGGCACGAGCGTTGTATTCCTGGAAGATGTGATTTCTGAGATGTCCAAAATGTGGTACAACGTGGGTCTTATGACTTGGTCAATATATAGCGAGGAGCGGTCACGTCATTTCCTCATCCTGGACCACGATTCTGGAACACCACGGTGTCAACTAACTGGTTCTGACCGATTGCACCCCACACTTAGATGCTTGGATCACCTCACGAGTCTCTTTCAACGATACACTCATTGGAAAACAGTTCACCACGCCTTCGCCATACTCTCACTCAGCCATCGGCTGTCGAAACACAATATAGGCACAGTTCTCCATTGTCGATAACGCCAATTTCGAAGCCGATCCGCGAGGTTGCCCACTGCAGTCGGTTTTGGCGGTGATGAGCCGTGAGGACAGGACTACGATATGGTCTGTGACAGCACAGGTTTCTTCCGCGCACACCTCGACGCACTATAACCAAAGGTCTGGCGTGCTGTTTCCGTCGCTCTAGGGAAGCGATCCTGCAGATGGTTGCGCACAATCTGTCGGTTTTGACGTTGTCATGTTACTGAAGGTTGCCCACTGTGTGGACGGTCTTGGTTGCTGTTAGTGACCTGATACCGCTCCTGCAGTCGGTAGATTGTCCTAACATGAACATTAAAATGATTGGCTACCCTCCGTGCAGTCTGGACAACTTGCAATCGTCCCAAGACTCGGTTGCTCTGATCTCTCGTAAGTCGTGGCATGGTGATGTGTCAAAACAAAAATGATTTGAGGCGAGTTGGGGACTCGCTTTCACTGTTAGGGTTGTCACGACATGCACGTGCATTTCCATTTTCACGAACGTCTGCCTTTTTCAGTGCGTTTGGTCGATATACTTTTTCAGCAGAAAAGACACTGATGATCATGGTAATAGCTGTCAATCTGGATTGAAAAACATGTCAACAAAACGGTGCAATCATAATAAAAACACCACCTTGTAAGAACAAAATTTTGCATTTGGTTTTGAAAGGCGACGTTTCTTTTGTGGTTCAGTATATTACAGAAAAAACAACTGACGGCAGATTGCTTTTTCAAATCTCTTAAAAGCACAATTGACATCGCTTTGTTGGTTCTTTAAAGGATATTTCATTGGCTGGTATATTTAGAGTCATGTTGTTCTATTTTGGGAGATATGGGACTTCCCAATCCTATACATATTTCTGTGACGTGTACAGACCGCTTCTGGTTTGAACATATGTGACACAATTACTATACATGGTATATATTACTGTGACATTTGTACAGACAGTCGCTGTTTTGAGCATATGTGACATACATTTACACATACTTATCACATATATAGTACATGTTTATATCACTATGACGTGTACATCTGTGACATACTTATCACATATGTAGTATATATTACTGTGACGTGTACTAACCGCTACAAACTGCTGAAGACCAATTCTAAACCGGATCTTCATGGGTGAAGAGCAACTCTAACCTGGATCTTTACGGGTGAAGACCAATTCTAACCCAGATCTTCACGGGTGCTGGAACTGTGTGTGACCAGATGTTCCCTAATATTGAAGCGAGATGTCAGTGAAACTAAAGCAATATGTAGAATGATGCCTGGCTACGGCACAACCAGTACAAGAGACATAGCTGTAATCTGAGCAATTAGCCTTTGATCTCTTGCTCAAATCAAGTCATCCCGTGATTTGTTTATAGAAATATTCACAGGTGATAAGGGACAGAGTGTTTTGAAACCAATGAATTATTGATAATAAAACTTTGATTGCAGCATTATTGTCTTCATAAATGATGAACAAATAAATAAACAAATAAATAAATAAATAAATAAATAAATAAATAAATAAATAAATAAATAAAACAATTGTCTTGTAATGTTTAATAATTACAGGTATGATTAGAACAAATTGAACAATACACGTATCTTTAATTCCGTAATTTACACCTACACCAGGGTATGAAACTCCCAAAAATTTCAACCAGACCACAGGGCTGGTCAGATGTAAAACCTGCCAGCCCTGACCAAAACTAAGGGGACACAAAATATCTTCATGTACATGTCTAAATTATACCCCGACCATCGAGCAGGTGAATTTGAGAATCTGGCAGAAAATAACCCGTCCCGGGCAGTCAGGCAGGCAGGTATTTTGAACGCTGACTTACATCATGCTTTTAACTACTATTCAGTTAGATTCATTACATCACATTGACTTTGATAAACATGGTATCTCTACAGTCAATGAGCACAGGTCCACACAATAATTCTTGTAACAAACTTGCACCTCTAATGGAGGCTATAAGCTTTCTAACAACAGGCAGATGTTTAGGAGTTACAAAAGTAAGACTGCACATTAATAACTGGAATTGTAAGAAAAAGTATACCAAATATCACACAGAGAGAGAGAGAGAGAGAGAGAGAGAGAGAGAGAGAGACAGAGAGAGAGAGAGAGAGAGAGAGAGAGAGAGAGAGAGAGAGAGAGAGAGAGAGAGAGAGAGAGAGAGAGAGAGAGAGAGAGAGAGAGAGAGAGAGAGAGAGAGAGACTAGTGGTTAAAGCGTTTGCTCTGCATGTCAAATACCAGGTTCGATTCCCTACATAACTACAATGTGTAAAGCCCACACCTGGCATCCACTGCCATAATATTGCTAGGTTATTGCTAAAAGCGGTGTAACACAATACTCACCCACTCACTCACTCTATGCCTCACACAAACAAACATGGCCACTGTTGCAAGGCCATCTTTCAAGCAGAAACAGACACACAGAACAGAACAGAATTTTATTTCAGTAACAGGCCTCCGGCCCAAAATACATGTACATAAATTGATGATAAGTAGAGCACATATATATTTCATTTAGATTTGTGTTTCTTGTCAACAAAGTATAAAAATAGACATACATCCTTGATAATATTAACATTTTTACTCTGTAATATTGATATAATATTAATAATTGATGGACATTTACTAAAATATTTTGATATGTACTTATTTCTGATATGAGAATATGCATCACAGATATAAAACACATGCCATTCATCTTCAACAACGAAGATACCATTTAATTTACAAAACAGGCAATGCCTTTCATTATATGCAACATCAGTGTATCTGCCTGTTTCAACTGCTAGTTTAAAATTACAGCACTGAAATCGGGCATATATAGTTTTTAAACATTGATGGATATCATTATTTATCAAGTAGCTCTCAACATTTAACAAAGATTTGAATTGCTTATAGTAAAGACATTTACAGTTACTGTCCAAAGATGATTGCCAAGATGGAAATAAATTATCATGTAGTCTCTTTTTAAATGATTCCATAAATATTTTGTGATCACCAATTTCCTGACTTATCCAAACAAATCCAAAACCAAATTGAAAAAGAATATTTTTAATTCTAGTTGCCCATGAATTTCGTCCTACCCTGTCTAAAGATAATAGCATAAAATAACATTGTTTTGGTAATCTATAGTCAGGCATGTTTAGAAGTCTGCACCAGTATTTCACTGCATTGGTTGTATAAGTCAACTGTAAAGGCACTCTTCCACATTCACCCAAGACCATATTGTTACAGGTTGATTTTCCAAGTTTCAAGACATATTTACAGAATTTAATATGGACAGATTCAATAGTATTACAGTAGGATGTGCCCAAGATTTCGGACCCATAACAGAGAATGGGGTGATATCATACAATCAAAGATTTTAAATAAATCTGTACAATTAATGCTGCCAAGTTTCCTTTGGAAATGTTTAACAGAGAATATTGCCTTACTAGCTTGTGATGCAAGGCAAGATGTAGCTTTACTCCCGGGTAATTAGGTGTGAACATAATTCCAAGGTACTTGTTAAAGGATACAGTTTCAATAACATTGCCATTATAAAACCAATTTTCATATGAGTAGCAAAGGGACCACCATTTCTAAAAACAATAATCTTAGTTTTCTTTAGATTCACGCTCATACCAGTTTGCTCACAAAATTTACCAAGTACATTGATCTTTTTTTGCAGCTGTGCACAGGTGTCAGCTATTGCTGACACATCATCAGCAAACATAAGAGAGCAGAGATTGCTAATAGAAGAAGAAACTGTAATACCTTGACCTCCTTCCAACTCCATAAGACTGCATAGCTTATTTATGAAGATAATAAAAATCTGAGGGCTCAAAACACAGCCTTGGCGAATACCGATTTTACAATAAAAACTATTTGATACACCCTTAGATGTCCTTACTGAAGCTGATAAAGAACTATACATAGAAGTTAACAGCATAAGAAATTTACCTCGTATACCAGCTTCGTAGAGTGACTTTTGAAGAACATCATGCCTTAGAGTATCAAAAGCCTTGGCAAAATCTACAAAGAGACAATAAAATCTACCCCTTTTTTTGCTAATATATTTTTGAATTAACGACTGCAATGAAAAAATTTGGTCAATTGTTTAATAATCAGCCCTGAAACCAGACTGTGATTCACTGATAATATCATGAACTTCACACTATTAAGAATTGGCACTCAGAGAAATTCCTCTGTAATTATTAGTATCATCTCTACAACCAGACTTATGAACAGGACAAATAATGCTTTTACCCCAACAAGATGGAAATTTACCACTATCAAGAATATGATTAAAAGCTGAGTAAGATATGGTACAATGAGATGACTAGAAGCCTTTAAGAATTCAGCAGCAACACCATCCGGCCCTGCAGATTTATTATTAGCAGAATTAACTATCTGACGACAGACACACAACTGGTCAGAACATGATCTGTGCAGTCCGTAGGATGTTCAAATATCTGAATCACAGAATTCTGTTCTGAAGCCGCGGTTTCATGTGTTCTTCCTGCTGGAGAATTTCAGATGGAGGCCATTTTCTGCTCGGAGAACGACCTCCGGAAAAGGCACTGCAGGTTTATCTGGATCTACCTTGATGTGAAATCTGAAAATAGAAATGTTCCATTACTGTATTTGGTTGGATTTCCATTTCAAGGCTTTGTTGAAAGCTCCAGACAGATCCATTCCAATTCTGTACTGGTACCCATCTATTTGTCAGTTACTGACTAGAAACTGCTGCTTAACTTCATTAAAATGTGTTCATCATATTAGCAGCTTAATGATGACTTATTTAAGTAAAATATTTCAGAAATTCAGACATGTGTTTTCTCAATTGTTTTTGATGGTATTTTACGTTTTTGTAATATTTTGCTTAGTTTCTACATTCAAATTTTGGGCTAGTGAATTATTTTGTGGGCTAGTAACTTTCAGACATAGCTAGCCCGACTGGCAAGAAAAATTTGGAAACTATTTCGCACACTGGCGTCATTGTGATATCCCCATGCTGTAAATTGGTAGCGCTATCATGGAGAACACATGTCACATTTGGCTATGTAGTGTGACATTGTGAAGGTCACGGCCAAATGTGCGACCATGACCTTCAGGTACCTCTGTGGATGTCTGTAGGGGTGCCAACCCCTCTAAGCAATCGGCACACCACTTAATTTGTCTTGGCATCACATTTTAGAACACTTCATTACATCAGTGTACACATCAGTTAAGTTAGACTGGAACTTGCGTCCATCATGCTGAAGGATCAAAGACCTACATTTGGCAGAGTACTACACTGAGTGTATGATAAAACAGGCTCTAGAGTGAGTGAGTGAGTTTAGTTGTATGCCGCACTCAGCAATATTCCAGCTATATGGCGGCGGTCTGTACGTAATCAAGTCTGGACTAGACAATCCAGTGATCAACAGCATGAGCAGCGATCTATGCACTGGCATATGATGACATGTGTCAACCAAGTCAGCGAACCTGACCACCCGATCCCGTTAGTCCCCTTTTAAGACAAGCATGGGTTACTGGAGACCTATTCTAACCCGGATGTTCACAGGTAGCCCATACATTCCTGGTATTCCCCGCCATGATATTGCAAAAATTGCTGTGATAATCAAACAACCTTAAAATGAGATTTCCTTCATTTGAAATTGTTTGGCACCAACCTCCGAACAACCTGACACAGCATCACTTTTATTTCATTTGTAGCAAAGTTCTGTCCTATACAGTTCCTGGAAAAACAACAGACACATACATATTACACTACTGTTCAAAACTAACATCCCCTCATGACTGTCTTCAACTGACCAGTACATTGTTCCAAAAAACTGATCGTACCTCTATGAGACTTGTAAGTCAATGTTCAACTATGGAACTTAAGACCACCTCCGCCCTGCTATCATTATATCATCTGTCCATTTTTCTTTTTGTCTACTTATTCACCTGCTTGATTGCACATGATCCCATCCGAGACTCTTTGATCAAATTTCACAGAGGATATTTTAAGAAGGAAAGTAACTTGGTGAATCGAACAATATCCTTTCATCAATGCAATCCACCATTCACAATCACAAGAATTAAATATTCATTAATGTTTTTGAAGTAGTGTTTTTACTTAAAATCGATCAAAATCGGTCAAATGGAATATATCCAAGTCAGGCAGGATAATAGTCAATAATCTTATTTATAGCTAAAATACATGGCATTATCATGAAACGTCCCTCCTATTATCAGAAATGTGCGGGAAGCCCTCGGTCTTTTTCAACTGCCCTCCTTTGTTGGGCAGTTAATGGAAGACCCAGGGCTTCTGCAAATGATAATGCCCTCAAAACTAGCATTACCCTTATAATATTTAATTTGACAGCAATGTGGTCACTGGTAATTTTTCTGAGAAATTTGTAACATATCCAAAATATTGTTTCCCTGAATTTATTGAATAAGACATCAACTGCTGATATGTCATTGCAATTTGTGATATGTGTCATATTCGCCTCATGGTGGATTAGTTCCAGGCCTACTATTTATCATAAAGGAGAAAGTACACTGGATGGTGGATTATGTCATACCTGGGACCAGCAGAGAACGGCACAAAACAGTAGTGAATATTTAATTTGAAACCTCCTGCTGACGCCAGTCGTGGTTCCAAATGAATTCCCGTGCTTCAAATACTCAATAACGCCCGGAAATTGGCCAACACATGATGTTTATCTCCTAAATATTATATTTTTGTTTCCCAATATTATACTTGTTACCCAATATCATATTTGTTACCCAATATTATATTTCTTACACAATACCATATAAGTTACCCAATATTTGTGATATGTATCATATTTGCCTCATGGTGGATTAGTTCCAGGCCTACTATTTATCATAAAGGAGAACAGTATACTGGATGGTGGAGTATGTCATACCTGGGACCAGCAGAGAACGGCACAAAACAGTAGGGGTCTCTGCCTGCAGCAGAATCAAGACTGAATCTCTCGGTGTCAAACTCCTGAAATAAATTACAATTGTCATCATCATGATCAAATACCATTCTCAGTATCCCTAAGACTCGTAACCTACACTAACCCTTCGATCCGTTCCCCTGATTGTCCATGTTAAATTACCTGCACTCGATTTTCAGTAACATTTTATCATTCAAACACATGTAAGGAAAAGTAATTTGTTTGCTTGTTGTTGAACACTACGTTCAGCAATTCCAAGCTATATGTCGATGGCCTGTAAATAATCAAGTCTGGACCAGAAAATCCAGTGACTGACATCATGAGCATCGATCTACGCAATTGAGATAAGATGTGTGTCAACCAAGTCAGCGAGTCTGATCCCATTAATCCCCTTTTACAACTAGCATTGGTTGCTGAAGACGAATTTTAACCCGAAACTTCAGGGAAAAATTGTTAAGGGAGATAACTCTACCGCTTGGAAACCAAAGTCACTACCAGTTTGAAGGGACACAATATTTTAGCACTTTCTTTATATATATCAGTCAGTTTTTCAAAGTTGACATTCTCACAAACTTTATCATTGTCATTGGGACTAGCTGTAAGTTACACTTTCTGATTGGTCTGTTTGACTTCCTTTGTTTCTCAGACTAACTGACAAATTAAAATCAGGAGCACGTAATCAAAGATTGAGCACTTGAGGAATGCATCTGGTTTCCTGAAATGAGGGCAGCGTTTGTCCTTGACCCTGAAAGCTGCAGGCCCTACCCAGCGGGCACACAACGTTGAATCAACGTTGAATTTTTGGTTGTTTGGTTGATCAGCCTTTCATAAACGTTTGATTCAACGTTTATCATGCGACCAAAGAAAGTTAGTCGAGATTCGTTTAGTTGTAAACGTTGTTTCAACGCAAGGAACCAACAAAATGTCAACTAATTGTTTCCTTGGCAAAATTTGATACATAATTCATATTGGTAATAGGTATCCAACTTAGCAACTATCATTTCGGAACATTATTTTCATAAAGATCAAGATCGAGCTAGTGACAGATATAATCTTATATATTATTTGATTGTGCATCGATCAACGGACGGAAATATTGCGTAAATCGCAGTTTTAGGTATAAAGTCATCAGTTATCCAAATTGCATTACATTTGATATTTTCCCACAAAACTGTGAAAATTGTATAATTCCCGACAATTTGCTTTCAAACACACAAGCCAGATGTTGACCTTTCGATCGCCTCGTTTGGCCATATCCGGACATGCGCACAATTATCGCGGGCGCAAAAGGCGGCTGATCGTTGTAAGTTTACTTTGGCGAAGTTCAACGCAATATCGTTTTATTTTTCACCATCTTCACGGCATGCTGGTGTTTTATTTGAGTAAGTATGTCCTTCATGTATAATGAAAACGTAGGAATGCCGTTTAAATCTAGGCTCCGAATTAGGGCTCATGTTTTTATCTCACAAGGTTACAGGTATGTCACAGTACATGTTTCTCAAAATTTAGTGGAAGCCCGTGTTTTCCATGAACTTGTTTTGTTATTTTTCAATATATTTGCATGCATATATTTGGCATTTTATTATATAATCGAATAAGATTTCCTTTCGTACCCATCACCTGATTTGAATTTTGCAAATATACATTTTCAAATAATCAATGAAGTACATCAATATAAGGAACCGTTCATAATTAAATTAACAGCCCCACACACACACACACTTTTGGGTGAAGTGTTGATATAAGGGGTTGGAGCGTGGGGTGGGGTGTCACCCATTTTGTTCAGGGGAGCTAAAGGGGTCAGCATTTTTGTACACACGCACTATGTTTAGAAATTATGGGAAGGGAGAGGGCGTCATAGATAATGTACATGACATGCAGGGTGGGCCGTCTCTTATTCTGTACATACTCATACACTTTAGGGGGATGTAATTCACATTGTACATAAAAATCACCCCAAAGCCACACATTATGAACGGTCCCTAAGGGCATCTATACAAAATCGGATAGGATTAATCAACATTTTATATTGCCTCCCATTATTATGAACATTTGTTCGTTTGAATAGATCTATCAGTAAATGATGCATTGAGCACGCCCTGAACCCTGTCAACATATGTATATTATTGGGGAGGGGTGGTGGAGAATGGCGTAAGGAAATGCAACGAAAATTTCCACTTTAAAATGTCTTGTGAAAGTCTTTGTTAAGGATGAAATTGTATATAATTTATTTGAACTTATATTTATTTACAAAAGTGTAACTTCACTAATGATTCTTTGATGGGACAATTAACAAAACTGCACCCACAGACTTTCATTCTTACACTTGTTTGGAAGGGATATGATAATTCATGTCTCTTAAAGGTTAAAATCTTACATACAAAAGAAGTAATTTTAATGTAAGGAACATTTAATTATGAAATGAGATTATTTTAATGGTATTTGCAGAAATCTCATCTTCGAAGACTGGGTGGCAGCAATTTTGTGGATCACAGAAAGGAGCAAGGCTAAGGTAACACGTTTTTAACATTTCACTTGTTTCCAGTATATCCACCACAAAGTTTAAGAGAAAGATGATAATGCTCTTTCATTACCACCTGTTTTGAATATTTGTGATAATGTTTGGTCTTTTTTGGTGATAATAGTTGGTCTTTATTTTCATTTATATATTAAGGTTGATCATTTAAGAGAAAAATTGACAATGATTTCTCCCGGAGATGTTTAGTTTAATGAGCACTCCCTTGCTTGGCGCCATATTGTTTTCGCCGTAAACAGCTGGATGCAAGATAGCACATGAGAGGACAGAAGTCATACATTTATAGATATATAGAGATGTTTATTGCTGGGAAACACACTCTTCAGGTATTTGGTCAGCTGTGGAATTTGAATATGATGTTTTATTATTGTCAAAGGGTAGGTTTTCATTATTTGCAATCTAATACATGTGCAGTGAAACATACTGAGATTTGGAAGAGTCCATTATTTAAAAGTACAGGTGTTGTTAGATATCAGCATTTTATGTACATGTTCCCTTGTCAAGATCATCTATCTAGTATATTAGAGAGATGGTGTATATTTAATAGTGTTTTAAATCAGAGTTATTTTCAGTGTATGACCTACATTTCAATATGTTTTGGCCACCTGTCACCCCTTTGGTCAAATAGAGTAGGACTTCCATTTCTTGGATTTGAGAGTCGGAGATGCACTGTTTCCAAGAATTTGCGTGTGCCAGCGATGTTTGTTTACGAGAATTACATTTAAGTCTTTTTGAGTGTAGATTGGGTTGTAAGAGATGTTATTCAATGTCTTATTATTCATGGTATGATAGATTATTTCTGGCAGTGTAGAGTTTAATCTCATTATTTTATTGTTCATGATTCAGAGAAGCATAGTTATGACGTCATGATAATACGCACATAATTCATTATATGAGATTTTTCTAAGCGTTCCTATAAGAGATTAAGTGTAAACATTTATGAATTATAAAAAGTTTTTTATCTGAGTTTTATGAGTGTACAAATGACAAAGAGAGAGAGAGAGTAAGATAATAGAGAATATATTGCATACTTATGAGAGCTCATTATTGTTTTCAGAACTCCATGATCCATACTTCCTTGTGTTTGGGAACAAATGGTGTTGGGAGACCTCCACAATAGACTTGTTCTTTGACCTGTGAACCACCACCCATTTTGTTTTCTTATCATTTAATGTAAAATGGCTTTTGTTACAATTTATGACTCCTGGTAGCAAAATTGCTACATCAGTTCAACTCTATTAATTTGGAAATAATCATTTCGAGAATCTCTAAAGAAACTAAATCTGACAGAATAACAACAATCTTCCATTGTTTTGCAGGACAATGTCAAACAATTTGATGTCAAGAATGAATGTTGATGATGGGCAAACGGCAAGTTTTCTTTTTAAGAATACAAGGTTGTATTCAATCATCTCTGGTAAGTTAATTACCAAGTGCAGCATTTTCATCATGACCATAGCAAATAATATATGACAGTAAAGCATCGTCTAATTCATCCTACCCGGTAATTCATAGTCTAATTAAATAATCAACTTGCAATTGAGGATTTTCTTTGAAAATGTTTAAGAAAACTTCCATTCCTTAGGTTGAAAATATATATTGTTTACACTTTTTCGTCATATTTTGTATTGATGCTGTTCATATGTTCACATGCCAAAGTTACAGCAGTGAAATGAACCTTTCAAGTGATTAATTAAACAAATACTTGAATCATTTAAGACAATATATCTTCCATATAACTTATTCATGTATTTAAATATAAAATTTCAGAATGTGTCCTATCTCAAGGGAATGAGATGGGATGCATCTGAAGCAAATTTCAAGAAAGAGTTTCTGAAATATCCACCTGACCATAAGGCAGAAGTGGCAGAAAGATGAGGAGCTGATAATTGTGTTTTTGGGTTGTAATTGTGTGTGAAAATCTGAACTGTGGTATTGAAATTGGTGGCATAAATGTCACTTTGATGCTATATGCAGATGATATTGTGTTATTAGCACAACAGAGATCACCTACAGACTATGTCATGTGTGATGTTTTACATTATGCATTAAACCGTTTTCTGTGTCGTGTGTGTTCATAAAGATTTCATGAAAAGTGACTTGTTTTATGTGCTGTCTTCAGGTATAGTTCCTGGTCATCTTGGATCCCTTTCATGGTGAAAGTAATTGCATTGTGTTTATTCAGGTGTCTGTCTAAGAGCTGAAATTCAGACAAAATGTCTTCTCGGGACAATTTTCACCTTTTCAAGGGTAACAATACAACAGTAAATAGTTTTTCTTAATTTGGAATACTCTTTTCTTCTTACTGGAATAATACGTCCAACTGACATAAAACTTAAATGAACATTATATTGAATGTGGAATTTAAACCAAGTATTTTATCAGGTAAATATTTTTTACTGCAATTTTCTGTTTGAACACTGTTTATTGCAGGTAGCTTTTGGGTATTTTAGCTGGATGCAGGAGTTTGGTGCTACTTTATTGTAGCTTAAAGATGAAATCTTGAGTCTATTTACAGGAAAGCGTAATAACTCCCAGACACAACCACGGAACAACCCATTTTCAACGTTAATAATATGTCAGACTTCAACATTGATTCCGTGGGATATCTACGTCAAAAACTTTCATATACAACCTATTTTCAATCTATTTTCAACGTTGAGGATCAACCTATTCTCAACGTTGATAATCGATCAAACTTCAGCGTTGATTCCACGTCGGATATCTACGTCAAAAAACTTTCATATACAACCTATTTTCAATCTATTTTCAGCGTTGAGGATCAACCTTTTTCAAGCGTTGATAATCGGTCAAACTTCAGCGTTGATTCCACGTCGGATATCTACGTCAAAAACTTTCATATACAACCTATTTTCAATCTATTTTCAGCGTTGAGGATCAACCTTTTTTCAGCGTTGATAATCGGTCAAACTTCAGCGTTGATTCCGTTCGGATATCTCACGTCAAAAACTTTCATATACAACCTATTTTCATTTTCACGTTGAGGATCAACCTATATAAAGAGTTATGGGTCCTCATCAGAATGGGTAGGTCCTATATGTTAATATGGAAATAATACTTAGTTATTGCGGATGAAAACACTGTCGGCCTTAAGGACCCTGCAAAAAACAAAAGCTGTGGGTCCGAGTGGTTTTCAGTTGGGCCTAAGGACCAACGTTAATTTCGAATGCTGTCCTGGAGACAATGATAATGTTCTGTAGCTGGAATATTGTTGAGGGTGCATTAAACAAACAAACAATACCAATTACTGGATGGCTGACTCAAGAAATGATTCATTAGTTACAGATCGCCAACACATACCGGTAAATGGGTTACTCCTGGGGAGGTATTAAACAAACAAAGAAAACATACACTAAATTAGGTAAAATGAAAATTAAGTGAAGGTCACCAAAATTGACTGGGCCCTGCACCTTCCTAGATAAAGCTTTGTTTAAATATGAAGACAATCCAGTGAAAGGTTCTTGAGATAGCTTAACATGCAGGTTTACATGATGAAATCTTCAAAGTGTCGCCATGACCTTGAAAATTATGTGAAGGTCACCAAAATTGACTGGGCCCTGCGCCTTCCCTAGATAAAACTTTGTATTGAATATGAAGAAAATCCAGAAAGCGGTTCTTGAGATAGCTTAACATGCAGGTAAAATGTTAAAGTCCCCTTGTGACCTTGAAATGGGGTCAAGGTCACCAAACCTGACTTGGACCTTTCTTATATTGTGATGAACCTAGGTACCAATTATGAAAAACAATCTAGAGAACGGTTCTTAAGATATTCCAATTACGTGCCTCGGACGGACGGACGGATCGAGACCTAATACTATATCCCCGGCAGCTAAGCGGCGTGGCGGGGATAGAAAAAGAATGAACTACCATTAAGACAGACATGTGAAACATACTAAACAAAGTGTAATCTATCAGAGTACAACTCTCGAGATATTTAAACTAAATCTGAGATTACCAGGGGATTTGGCCAGACATTTGAGTTCCTGTGCATCTGGTAAATGTTGATGTCAACCATGACCCCTTTGGGAACCTCGACACCATCGATGACCAGTGGCTGGCTGAGTTGTCTACTGACCACTGGCACGGGGGGAAATATCCTCATGCACTCACGGATAAATATGGGTAAATACTTCAGCTTGGCCAGATCGTCCCTGAAACACAGGTACACAGGTGTGATAAATATGGGTAAATACTTCAGCTTGGCCAGATCGTCCCTGAAACACACAGGTATGATAAACATGGGTAAATACTTCAGCTTGGCCAGATTGTCCCTGAAACACAGGTACATGGGTGTGATAAATATGGGTAAATACTTCAGCTTGGCCAGATCGTCCCTGAAACACAGGTATGATAAACATGGGTAAATACTTCAGCTTGGCCAGATTGTCCCTGAAACACAGGTACACAGGTGTGATAAATATGGGTAAATACTTCAGCTTGGCCAGATCGTCCTGAAACACAGGTACATGGGTGTGATAAATATGGGTAAATACTTCAGCTTGGCCAGATCGTCCCTGAAACACAGGTATGATAAATATGGGTAAAATACTTCAGCTTGGGCCAGATTGTCCCTGAAACACCGGTATGATAAACATGGGTAAATACTTCAGCTTGGCCAGATTGTCCCTGAAACACAGGTACACAGGTGTGATAAATATGGGTAAATACTTCAGCTTGGCCAGATCGTCCCTGAAACACAGGTATGATAAACATGGGTAAATACTTCAGCTTGGCCAGATCTTCCCTGAAACACAGGTGTGATAAACCACGGGTAATACTTCAGCTTGGTCAGATCGTCCCTGAAACACAGGTACATGGGTGTGATAAATATGGGTAAATACTTCAGCTTGGCCAGATTGTCCCAGAAACACAGGTATACAGGTGTGATAACTATGGGCAAATACTTTCAGCTTGGCCAGATCGTCCCTGAAACTCAGGTACATGGGTGTGATAAACATGGACAAAACACTTTAGCTTGGCCAGATTGTCCCTGAAACACAGGTACATGGTTGTGATGTACATGGGAGAAACCTTCAGCTTGGCGGATGGATCCCTGAAACTCAGGTACATGGGTGTGATAAACATGGACAAAACACTTTAAGCTTGGTCAGATTGTCCCTGAAACACAGGTACATGGGTGTGATGTACATGGGTGAAACCTTCAGCTTGGCCAGATGGTCCCTGAAACACAGGTACACAGGTGTGATAAATATGGGTAAATACTTCAGCTTGGTCAGATCGTCCCTGAAACACAGGTACATGGGTGTGATAAATATGGGTAAATACTTCAGCTTGGCCAGATTGTCCCTGAAACACAGGTACACAGGTGTGATAAACATGGGTAAATACTTCAGCTTGGCCAGATTGTCCCTGAAACACAGGTACATGGGTGTGATAAACATGGGTAAATACTTCAGCTTGGCCAGATTGTCCCTGAAACACAGGTACACAGGTGTGATAAACATGGGTAAATACTTTAGCTTGGCCAGATCATGTAAGTGCGAGGGTGTGTTCATGTGTCAATGTCTGTATGGGAATGTGTGTGTAAGTGCGAGGGTGTGTTCATTGTCAATGTAAGTGTGGGAGAGTGTTTTCCCAACCACCACCTCCTTACCACTCCACTTCATTCTTGTCCCCGACTGCCTGTTGGACGTCTTGGAGGACCTTCTCCTGCTCGGCAGGGTACTTGGCCAGAGCGTACAGACACCAGCTGATGGCGGATGAGGTAGTGTCATGACCTGAAAACATGTGTCTCATTACAGACAGCCACAGAAGTGATGGATACAATTTTGTGTAATACAAAATTTAATCTCAACTATTTTTGAGCATGAGATGACACTGTATAAAACTATACTACACTGTACTATATGGCATGGCAGAGCAGAGCAGAGCAGAGCATCCACACCACACAACATGCCACCACCCCACACCACATGCCACCACCCCACACCACATGCCACCACACCCCACACCACATGCCACCACACCACACCACCCCACCCCGCACTGCAATTCACCCCCACATGCCACCACACCCAGCCATGCACTGCACCATCCCACATGCCACTACACCCCACCCCACCCCCACCCAGGCCTGCACTACCCCACAACACACACAGCACAGTTTCACCCCACACCACTCCACACGCATCACACAACACCACATCGCTACACCAAACCACACCTGCTGCATATTGTTCAGACAGGAAATGGGCGGTGGGGTAGCCTAGTGGTTAAAGTGTTCGCTTGTCACGCCGAAGACCCGTTTTCGATTTCCCACATGGGCACAATGTGTAAAGCCTATTTCTGGTGTCCCCCGCCGTGATATTGCTGGAATATAGCTAAGAGCAGCGTAAAACTATACTCACTCACTCACTCAGACAGAAAGCATCACATTTAGTGTCATGTTTCTACTTGCTCGCACCAGCTGAGAAACCTGCATCTCGTGAGCTACCTTCAAACATGAATGTGTCAACCTCATCTCTGATCTCCCGGTCAGTCAGGCCTTGACCTTCATCATCTCGAGCTGACAACAAAATGTCCAGGAAGTCCAGGCGACGCTTGTTTAGTAACTCAGGATCTGATTCCTGGAATCAAACGCCATAGTCTACATCAGACTACCGATATTCTGCACTTACTCCAACTCTATGTTCACACATCAGTACAAAGGTAGCACTATGACTAGTGTTGAGAATCGGAAACCAAGTCCTCTATCGATTATCGGAGGATTGTGGTGAACGATTATCGATTATAATCGAAATATATACAGTTTTAATGTAATCACCAATATTAAGAGGTTTTCCCAGGTTTTTTCTAATTAATTTTTTTTATAACTAATGCACACATGCAAGAAAGACACTGGAATTGTACTTAAACAATAAAAGTGGTTAAACTTTCACAATGTGCATAGCTTTACGCTGTTGAGCGCATGTTTGTTCATGAATATTCGTCACATTTGATGGTTAGTCTACTTCATTCAAGGGTTTCATACAAAAACAACAAAATTCTGATGAATCGAAAATATGTTTTATACAATCGATAATCATTTTTAATTCTTCTTTCGACGATTTTCTATTATTTTCGATAATCGGAACATCTCTAACTATGACAGTCAAAATGGAGTGGCAGTACAAACACAAAGGTAATACAATACAACCCCAGTGATTATAGCAATAATGACAGTGATGATAACATTACCCTCTCAGCAACAAAGGTAATACAATACAACCCCAGTGATTATAGCAATAGAGACAGTGATGATAACATTACCCTCTCAGCAACAAAGGTAATACAATACAACCCCAGTGATTATAGCAATAGAGACAGTGATGATAACATTCCCCTCTCAGCAACAAAGGTAATACAATACAACCCCAGTGATTATCATAATAGAGACAGTTATGATAACATTACCCTCTATGCGGCAACAAAGGTAACCACAATACAACCCCAGTGATTATAGATAAGACAGTGATGATAACATTACCCTCTCAGCAACAAAGGTAATACAATACAACCCCAGTGATTATGCGCAATAGAGACAGTTATGATAACATTACCCTCTCAGCAACAAAGGTAACACAATACAACCCCAGTGATTATAGCAATAGAGACAGTGATGATAACATTCCCCTCGCAGCAACAAAGGTAATACAATACAACCCCAGTGATTATAGCAATAGAGACAGTGATGATAACATTCCCCTCTCAGCAACAAAGGTAACACAATACAACCCCAGTGATTATAGCAATAGAGACAGTGATGATAACATTAACCTCTCAGCAACAAAGGTAATACAATACAACCCCACTGATTATAGCAATAGAGACAGTGATGATAGCATTACCCTCTCAGCAACAAAGGTAATACAATACAACCCCAGTGATTATAGCAATAGAGACAGTGATGATAACATTACCCTCTCAGCAACAAAGGTAATACAATACAACCCCAGTGATTATAGCAATGAGAGACGAGTGATGATAACATTCCCTCTCGCGGCAACAAAGGTAATACAATACAACCCCAGTGATTATGGCAATAGAGACAGTGATGATAACATTACCCTGCGCGCAACAAAGGTAATACAATACAACCCCAGTGATTATAGCAATAGAGACAGTGATGATAACATTCCCCTCTCAGCAACAAAGGTAATACAATACAACCCCAGTGATTATAGCAATAGAGACAGTGATGATAACATTCCCCTCTCAGCAACAAAGGTAATACAATACAACCCCAGTGATTATAGCAATAGAGACAGTGATGATAACATTACCCTCTCAGCAACAAAGGTAATACAATACAACCCCAGTGATTATAGCAATAGAGACAGTGATGATAACATTACCCTCTCAGCAACAAAGGTAACACAATACAACCCCAGTGATTATAGCAATAGAGACAGTGATGATAACATTACCCTCTCAGCAACAAAGGTAATACAATACAACCCCAGTGATTATAGCAATAGAGACAGTGATGATAACATTACCCTCTCAGCAACAAAGGTAATACAATACAACCCCAGTGATTATAGCAATAGAGACAGTGATGATAACATTACCCTCTCAGCAACAAAGGTAACACAATACAACCCCAGTGATTATAGCAATAGAGACAGTGATGATAACATTACCCTCTCAGCAACAAAGGTAATACAATACAACCCCAGTGATTATAGCAATAGAGACAGTGATGATAACATTACCCTCGCAGCAACAAAGGTAATACAATACAACCCCAGTGATTATAGCAATAGAGACAGTGATGATAACATTCCCCTCTCAGCAACAAAGGTAATACAATACAACCCCAGTGATTATAGCAATGAGAGACAGTGATGATAACATTACCCTCTCAGCAACAAAGGTAATACAATACAACCCCAGTGATTATAGCAATAGAGACAGTGATGATAACATTCCCTCAGGCAACAAAGGTAATACAATACAACCCCAGTGATTATAGCAATAGAGACAGTGATGATAACATTACCCTCTCAGCAACAAAGGTAATACAATACAACCCCAGTGATTATAGCAATAGAGACAGTGATGATAACATTACCCTCTCAGCAACAAAGGTAATACAATACAACCCCAGTGATTATAGCAATGAGAGACAGTGATGATAACATTACCCTCTCAGCAACAAAGGTAATACAATACAACCCCAGTGATTATAGCAATAGAGACAGTGATGATAACATTACCCTCGCGGCAACAAAGGTAATACAATACAACCCCAGTGATTATAGCAACAGAGACAGTGATGATAACATTCTCCTCAGCAACAAAGGTAATACAATACAACCCCAGTGATTATAGCAATAGAGACAGTGATGATAACATTACCCTCTCAGCAACAAAGGTAATACAATACAACCCCAGTGATTATAGCAATAGAGACAGTGATGATAACATTCCCCTCTCAGCAACAAAGGTAATACAATACAACCCCAGTGATTATAGCAATAGAGACAGTGATGATAACATTCCCCTCGCAGCAACAAAGGTAATACAATACAACCCCAGTGATTATAGCAACAGAGACAGTGATGATAACATTACCCTCGCGGCAACAAAGGTAACACAATACAACCCCAGTGATTATGGCAATAGAGGACAGTGATGATAACATTCCCCTCGCAGCAACAAAGGTAATACAATACAACCCCAGTGATTATAGCAATAGAGACAGTGATGATTACCCCCTCTCAGCAACAAAGGTAATACAATACAACCCCAGTGATTATAGCAATAGAGACAGTGATGATAACATTACCCTCTCAGCAACAAAGGTAACACAATACAACCCCCAGTGATTATAGCAATAGAGACAGTGATGATAACATTCCCCTCCTCAGCAACAAAGGTAATACAATACAACCCCAGTGATTATAGCAATAGAGACACAGTGATGATTACCCTCTCTCAGCAACAAAGGTAACACAATACAACCTCAGTGATTATATGGCAATAGAGACAGTGATGATAACATTACCCTCTCAGCAACAAAGGTAACACAATACAACCCCAGTGATTATAGCAATAGAGACAGTGATGATAACATTCCCTCCGGCAACAAAGGTAATACAATACAACCCCAGTGATTATAGCAATAGAGACAGTGATGATTATCCCCTCTCAGCAACAAAGGTAACACAAGACAACCCCAGTGATTATAGCAATAGAGACAGTGATGATAACATTACCCTCAGCAAACAAAGGTAATACAATACAACCCCAGTGATTATAGCAATAGAGACAGTGATGATAACATTACCCTCTCAGCAACAAAGGTAATACAATACAACCCCAGTGATTATAGCAATAGAGACAGTGATGATTACCCCCTCTCAGCAACAAAGGTAATACAATACAACCCCAGTGATTATAGCAATAGAGACAGTGATGATAACATTACCCTCTCAGCAACAAAGGTAATACAATACAACCCCAGTGATTATAGCAATAGAGACAGTGATGATTACCCCCTCTCAGCAACAAAGGTAATACAATACAACCCCAGTGATTATAGCAATAATGACAGTGATGATAACATTACCCTCGCAGCAACAATGAACTATAGGCCTAGGCAGGGTATCACGCCGAAGACCCGGGTTCGATTTCCCACATGGGTACAATGTGTGAAGCCCATTTCTGGTGTCCCCCGCCGTGATGTTGCTGGAATATTGCTAAAAGTGGGGTAAAACCAAACTCGCCTCGGCAGGCTATAATGATCATCATACACAATGCTGGTCTGGAAACTTCAGATTCTATGTGATATGAGAAGCAAGAGTTAACTCCGTTATATATCTAAGAAAAGGATGCCATAAAATTCTCCACTAAGTCAGATAATCCTGAAATAAGCTTCTTGAAGATCCAGGTTAGAATTGGTGTTTAGGAACCCATGCTTGCACCCCATGATGATCCGGGTTAGAATTGGTCTTCAAGCAACCCATGCTTGTACCCCGTGAATATCCAGGGTTAGAATTGGTCTTCAAGCAACCCATGTTTGTCCTAAAGGTGACTAACGGGATAGGGTGTAAGATTTGCTGACTTGGCTGACACATGTCATCATATCCCAATTGCGTAGATTGATGCTCATGATGTTGATCACTGGATTCTCTGGTCCAGACACGATTATCTACAGTGAATAAATATATCTGGAATACTGCTGAGTGCAGTGTTAAAAAGCAAACCAACCTTGGCTACCTTGGTAACCTTGACTCACCTAGGCAACCTTGACTCACGTTGGTTACCTTGGTAACCTTGACTCACCTAGGCAACCTTGGTAACCTTGACTCACCTAGGCAACCTTGACTCACATTGGCTACCCTTGTAACCTTGACTCACCAAGGCAACCTTGACTCACATTGGCTACCCTTGTAACCTTGACTCACATTGGCTACCCTTGTAACCTTGACTCACCTAGGCTATGTTGGTAACATTGACTCACCTAGGCAACCTTGGATACCTTGACTCACCTTGGCTATGTTGGTAAGGTTGACTCACCTTGGTAACCTTGACTCGCCTTGGCAACCTTGGCCCCTTTGGTTACCTTGACAATCTGTGACTGCCATAGTCCCCTCCTACAGTTACCAACAGGTACTTACATGAGCGTCCATACTGATTCCTACTAATCTTACCAGTGCCTTTTTCCTGGTCGAAATGATATCCTCTGAGAACTCATGAACATATTTACAGAGTTTGAAAAACTCCTTCCCGTTGGCGGACAGGTTGTAGACAAAGGGGATGTAGTGCAGGGGGTTCCTGCAACATGAAGGATCATAGTGTGTATACATAAAATACATGCACACAACACAAGGTAACCAACATAGTCTGTTAACCAACTGGTCACAAGGTAACCAACACAGTCTGTTAACCAACTGGTCACAAGGTAACCAACATAGTCTGTTAACCAACTGGACACAAGGTAACCAACATAGCCTGTTAACCAACTGGTCACAAGGTAACCCACATAGCCTGTTAACCAACTGGTCACAAGGTAACCAACATAGTCTGTTAACCAACTGGTCACAAGGTAACCAACATAGCCTGTTAACCAACTGGACACAAGGTAACCAACATAGCCCAACTGTTACAAGGTAACCAACATGCCTGTTAACCAACTGGTCACAAGGTAACCAACATAGTCTGTTAACCAACTGGTCACAAGGTAACCAACATAGTCTGTTAACCAACTGGTCACAAGGTAACCAACATAGTCTGTTAACCAACTGGTCACAAGGTAACCAACATAGTCTGTTAACCAACTGGACACAAGGTAACCAACATAGCCTGTTAACCAACTGGACACAAGGTAACCAACATAGCCTGTTAACCAACTGGACACAAGGTAACCAACATAGCCTGTTAACCAACTGGACACAAGGTAACCAACATAGCCTGTTAACCAACTGGTCACAAGGTAACCAACATAGCCTGTTAACCAACTGGACACAAGGTAACCAACATAGCCTGTTAACCAACTGGACACAAGGTAACCAACATAGTCTGTTAACCAACTGAACACAGGATAACAAACACAGCCTGTTAACCAACTGGACACAAGGTAACCAACATAGTCTGTTAACCAACTGGACACAAGGTAACCAACATAGCCTGTTAACCAACTGGACACAAGGTAACCAACATAGCCTGTTAACCAACTGGACACAAGGTAACCAACATAGCCTGTTAACCAACTGGTCACAAGGTAACCAACATAGCCTGTTAACCAACTGGACACAAGGTAACCCACATAGCCTGTTAACCAACTGGACACAAGGTAACCAACATAGCCTGTTAACCAACTGGACACAAGGTAACCAACATAGCCTGTTAACCAACTGGACACAAGGTTAAACCAACATAGTCTGTTAACCAACTGTTAACCAACTGAACACAAGGTAACCAACATAGCCTGTTAACCAACTGGTCACAAGGTAACCAACATAGTCTGTTAACCAACTGGTAACACAACCAACTGGTCACAAGGTAGCCAACATAGCCTGTTAACCAACTGAACACAAGGTAACCAACATAGCCTGTTAACCAACTGGACACAAGGTAACCAACATAGCCTGTTAACCAACTGGACACAAGGTAACCAACATAGCCTGTTAACCAACTGAACACAAGGTAACCAACATAGCCTGTTAACCAACTGGACACAAGGTTACCAACATAGCCTGTTAACCAACTGGACACAAGGTAACCAACATAGCCTGTTAACCAACTGGACACAAGGTAACCAACATAGCCTGTTAACCAACTGGACACAAGGTAACCAACATAGTCCTGTTAACCAAATGGTCACAAGGTAACCCACACAGCCTGTTAACCAACTTCTTACAAGGTAACCAACATAGCCTGTTAAGCAACTGGACACAAGGTTAACAACACAGTCTGTTAACCAAATTGACACAAGGTAACCAACATAGCCTGTTAACCAACTGGTCACAAGGTACCCAACATAGCCTGTTAACCAACTGGTCACAAGGTAACCAACAAGCATAGCCTGTTAACCAACTGGACACAAGGTAACCAACATAGTCCTGTTAACCAACTGGACACAAGGTAACCAACATAGCCTGTTAACCAACTGGTCACAAGGTAACCAACATAGCCTGTTAACCAACTGAACACAAGGTAACCAACATAGCCTGTTAACCAACTGGACACAAGGTAAACAACACAGCCTGTTAACCAACTGGACACAAGGTAACCAACATAGCCTGTTAACCAACTGGACACAAGGTAACCAACATAGCCTGTTAACCAACTGAACACAAGGTTAACCAACATAGCCTGTTAACCAACTGGACACAAGGTAACCAACATAGTCTGTTAACCAACTGGACACAAGGTTACCAACATAGCCTGTTAACCAACTGGTCACAAGGTAACCAACATAGTCTGTTAACCAACTGAACACAAGGTAACCAACATAGCCTGTTAACCAACTGGACACAAGGTAACCAACATAATCTGTTAACCAACTGAACACAAGGTAACCAACATAGTCTGTTAACCAACTGAACACAAGGTAACCAACATAGCCTGTTAACCAACTGAACACAAGGTTACCAACATAGCCTGTTAACCAACTGGACACAAGGTAACCAACATAGCCTGTTAACCAACTGGACACAAGGTTACCAACATAGTCTGTTAACCAACTGGACACAAGGTAACCAACATAGCCTGTTTACCAACTGAACACAAGGTAACCAACATAGTCTGTTAACCAACTGAACACAAGGTAACCAACATAGCCTGTTAACCAACTGAACACAAGATAACCAACATAGTCTGTTAACCAACTGGTCACAAGGTAACCAACACAGTCTGTTAACCAACTGAACACAAGGTAACCAACATAGCCTGTTAACCAACTGAACACAAGGTAACCAACATAGTCTGTTAACCAACTGGTTACAAGGTAACCCAAATAGCCTGTTAACAAACTGGACACAATTTCTTTATGGATAGACAACTTATTATTTGCGAAAGATTTGGTGTAGATGCTAACATCGCTATCAAGCAAGTGATGCTGAAAGAATAAACCCTCCCTATAAATAGTGAGAATAGTGTTGACACCGATGCCTGCAGATAATTTGAGGGGGTAGTCTCCCTTGTAATGTATCCTTGATCAGACAAGCAAGTGGTTGATAGTGTGAGCACTGCCAATGCTGTTAGGGTACAGTGACACAGGCTAACACCATTATTACCAGTATATAATTACTTACAAGGCTCTTGCCTGCATCAAGTTGGTCATTCTGATCACAGCTTTTACATAAGGATGGCTTTGTCTGGAAAAAAAGAGACATTTAAATTTAAATAGCACAATAACTACGTATAACATAAAACTAAGAAACTGTTTTCCGGCCATCGTTGTTCTATACCCTGTGCATAGGCCATCCTTACTGCCCAAATTTGTGTTCATTAATACATCAGGGTTACGGACCACGGTTGACGGCAATTAGGGAATTAATGTTAAGACTGACTGACTGAGTTTGGTTTTACGCCGCTTTTAGCAATATTCCAGCAACATCCAGCAACAGGGGACACTAGAAATGGGCTTCACACATTGTGCCCATGTGGGGATTCGAACCAGGGTCTTCGGCGTTACGAGCCAACGCTTTAACCATTAGGCTACCCCACCGCCCCTAATGTTAAGAAAGTCATCTTATAGCAAAGTGACATTTCAAGTGGAATAATATTTTGACTTTGACATGATATTATAATAGGATGTTCTCAGATCTAGATAGGGTGCACTGGTATTAGTTTTTAAAGAGACTGGTGATCAAATTAAAATTCGTGTCCAGTTTGAGTTCCTCGCTTATCAACTTTGAGAAAACTGTAATAAGAAACTCTAAAAACATGCAGCCTTAACTCAAGTTGTTTTGGAAATATTTGTAAATAAAAGTAAACAGAGGATGAAGTTGCCCTGGTTTTTTAATGAAATTAAAAGGGTAAGAGTATTTTGGCATCACATCTGGGCATAAATGTCCACAGTGTCAAGGAAAATAAGTTAACATTTTATGATTTACCATGAATGAAAATTCAGGGTGACAGAAAACAATGTTTACTTTCTTTCCCCATGTACACCATGTTGGAACCTCACCCTTGCTCCTGAATGTCCTCCTTATAGGACAGAGCACACTGGAGCATGGTGTCCAGGGTAGCTAGGCCTGCAGGGGCAAACACTTCAACAGAGTTACCTCCCTTGCTTGCACTCTCCACTTTTCTCTGAAGACAGAAAAGGTTGGTTGCAACATTTTGCAATCTTGTTAATCAGAGTAAGTGAGTGAGTATGGTTTTACACCGCTTTTAGCAATATTCTAGCAATATCATGACAGGGAACACCAGAAATGGGCTTCACACATTGTACCCATGTGGGGAATCGAACCCAGGTCTTCAGCATGACGAGAGCACCACTTTAACCACTAGGCTACCCCAAAGTACCCGGATGATGTAGCAACATTCATTGCAAATTATTAGTAACGATGACTCTAACATTTTGAGAAAGGACTGTTCTTTAAAAACGTTCTGTTCTTAAAAGCACTATATCACACCATACTTCTCTAAAAATAAACAATGAATTTCTTTCAATAATACTAACTATCAGCCCTCAGGGAAGCTACCATAATTTATTTTAAAAAAACACAACGTATATAGATTACAATATTAAATAAAAAAGTTTGAATGAATTAATGCAGCATTGCATTAAATTGACTCTTGCTCCCTCTACTGGTCGAACAGGTCGACCTGTTACCGCTGTTACAGGTCATTGGCTCCCTCCCTCTGCCAGCAGTCTGCGTTCTGCTGTTTATTTTGTTGACAGTTACATAGACAGATTCTTTAATACAAATGCATAAAATCGGTGATTTACAATGTGATTAGGTTGTCTGACAAAACATCCACTTGCACAGTTTGAGATCGATTGGGTCATTGGATGAAGAGATATTTACAAAAAAACGGGTCCACATGCATTTCATGCCAAACTATAGTTGTTAAAACATTCGCTTGTCACGCAGAAGACCAGGGTGCCCCACATGGGCACAATGTGTTAACCCCATTAATGGTGTTCCTCGGCGTGATAGTGCTGGAATATAGCTAAAAGCGACGTAAAACTAAGCTCACTCACTCACTCACTCATATCACAATACATCTTATGCTGTATCATTACATCATGGGTATATTAGCTACAATTTGATTAACAACGTATTGAAGACTAGTCCAGGAACGATTATTCGATCAATCGGTCTTGCTTGCGCCAGTGATTTTCAATTGTGGGTGAGTGAGTGAGTGAGCAAGTATTTGTTTTATGCCGCTTTTAACAATATTCCAGCAATATCACAACAGGGGACACCAGAAATAGGATTCATATATTGTACCCATGTGAAGAATTGAACCTGGATCTTTGGTGTGACAACTAACGGGATCGGGTGGTCAGGCTCGCTGACTTGGTTGACACGTCATCGGTTCCCAATTGCACAGATCGGTACTTATGCTGTTGATCACTGGATTGTCTGGTCCAGACTCGATTATTTACAGACCGCTGCCATATAGCTGGAATATTGCTGAGTGTGGCGTAAAACTAAACTCACGGAAGTATGCTTCCTATTGTTGTGTTTGTTAAATCAAGCGCCTAAAAAACTGAGGCGGTTTCCTGACTCGTAAAACTGTAATGTAAACAACATACTCGCGTGTGGGTCTCAACAGGTAGTATCCTTGATTGTCTTGATCGTAGTGTTAATCGCCGCTGGTTTTGTTTGCACAATGTTATGATTGTGTCTGTTACTGCCCACATGAGTTTGGAGGTGGGCTTTAAGATTACAATTGTTTGTTGATTGACTACTGATATACAGCATACTGTGAGTGACAACCAGCAGTATTGAAGTCACATTTACCATGAAAGTCTGGGCGACCTGGTTGTAAACCTTCAGGTACGGTTGTAGAATATCGAAGTGGAAGGCGGGAGTCAGCAGACGACGGTTTCTCTCCCACTTCTTACCATCACTAACCAATAATCCATCACCTGTAAACAAGTAACACAATTTTAGATAATGTTTCTGCATGTGGAACATGAAGATTGATATTCTAATTAATAAACATGTTGATGCCTTAGCTGCAAGAATTTCTGGTTTCAAAGAAAAGTAATTTGCATCATTTGTTGTCCTATTAGGGAGAAAAAGTGCTAATTCTCTAGTCAAAGTAACTTGTGTCCAAATCCATATTCTGTATGGATTGCAGACCCCTGTGGCTATTTATTTAATTTCAACAGTTACTGCATGTTCATATCTGCATGTGTATATTTTTTAGTTATCAACAAAGAGCAGTAAAATAAATAGTAAAATGTGTGAGAATTTGGCATCTAGTATTAGAGTGAGTGAGTGAGTGAGATGCTGCACCCAGCTATATTCCAGCCATATGGCGGCGGTCTGTAGTGAGTGAGTGATGATTCATGCACAAAGAAGTGCCCCTCTCCCCCCCCCATCCTTTTGTGACAAAGGGATGTAACTAAGGGATAACTGCAATGACTCAAAACACTCCCCCCCTTGTTTCTAATAAGGGGAGGTGTCATTCTTATTCTCACCTAGCCATGGCAACAAAAAATCATAGCCTCCACCACTCTTGGCCTTTGGTTCCGACGTCTTCAGAATGGCCTTGACACTCTCCGGGTGAGCTACAACTACAACAGGTCTGTAGAACCCAATCCAGAACATGTACGCTTGAGATCCATCTTTCAAAAATACCATAGTGTCTTCAAGAAATTCCTTAAAACTCTTAATCTGTAAAATAAACAAACAGTAAACCATATGCCATGAACCTCCTGTAAGAGATCACAGGCATAAAGATATTGCCAGGACACACGTAAATTCCCCCAAAGATCATGAAAAAAAACATCAGTATATACATTATTACAGACCTGATAAAGCATTTTCGAACAACAGCTTAAAATGCTTATCTGGGGCACTGAATAATGTAAAATCTACACTACAGTAGTGCTGGGAATTGGTCAAAATCTCGTAATTGATGATTGGTTCATTACAACCGATCCATCATCGAAAATAATTGGTAAGCATCATTTATGAAATTTTCCTGATTATTTTTGGTTAATGGACAAAAAATAAAGAAAATACCCTGTAGTTCTTTGGTGTTTTTGCAAATTGCACAAAAGGCATTGGCAAATTTCACATCTTTAAAGGATGACTAGTAGGTTAGGAACATGTGGGCTTTTCTGCGTTTTTCTGCACAGTGGGAAAGTTTTCTTTGGTAGGCCTGAGGACACAGTTTCTTAGATCGCCAGTTTCTTACTAAAGGCATTGTTTGTTGATATAATGTAATTAAGTTGTTATCTTAATTAAGTTGCTATCTTAATCAAAACTCAACACATTGTTGTGTTAATGGATTTAATTTAGGATTGAGTTTAATAAAAACAATCCTAGTTGGCAGTTGTCCGGGGGGCAGTTGTCCAGAGGGGCAGTATAGCCTGATACCCACAAACATACATTATTCTTAAGAACGATGAAATGTTAAATGCCATTTTTTGGCAAACTGAACCAAAGTTAAGAATATGTTCAGGGTATTCAGTAAGTGAGTATAGTATCATGCTGTTTTAGCAATATTCCAGCAACATCATGGCTGGGGAAACGGGTTATACATAATGTAACCACATGGGGAATCGATGAGTCTTCGGTGTGGCGAGCCGATCAACCGATTCCAATTTTCATGCTTTCAAAGTTGGAGTTATGTTTCCCTTTAGTACCTGTGAACATCCGGGTTAGAACTGGTCGTCAGCAACCGATGCTTGTCTTAAGTGAGTGAGTTCAGTTTTACGCTGCTTATAACAATATTCCAGCTATATCATGGCAGGGGACACCAGAAATGGGCTTCACATATTGTACCTATGTGGGGAATCGAACCTGGGTCTTCGGCGTGATGAGCAAACGCTTTAACCACTAGGCTACCCCACCGCCCCACTTGTATTAAGAGGTGGTCAGGCTCGCTGACTTGGCTGACACAAGTCATTGGATGAAAATTGCGTAAATCAATGGTCATGCTGTTGATCACTGGATTGCCTTGTCCAGACTCGATTATTTACAGACTGATGAGTGGAGCGGTGGGGTAGCCTAGTTGTTAAAGTGTTCACTTGTCACACCGAAGACCTGGGTTTGATTCCCCACATGGACACATTGTGTGAAGCCCATTTCTGGAATATTGCTAAAGCAGTGTCAACCATACTCACTCACAACAGACTAACGTCACACAGCTAGAATATTGCCGAGTGAGGTATTAAACAACAAAGTATCACTTTAATTCACATGTCAACCATGCACACCCCTCTCTACCCTCAACTCAATGTCTGCATGTACTCAGAGTTACTTTATCAGGACTTGTCCCGTAGACCTGCTACATACCTGTTTCAGATTTCCCCACAGCCAGTGAATGGGGTAATGTTGAAACTTGTCATCCAGCGCCGTGTGCCATTTCTGTAGTTTCCGGAGAACAGGAAGTACTTTGAAGACGAAGACGCTGATCACCAGTGCAATCAGGAACACCCCAACAATTCCAAACGCTATCATCGTTGCATGTGTACAATGTCAACGTGTCGGTCTCCTGCCACCGTTTAGTGTCCAGTGTGAATATGACGAACGTGTTATTTTTACCTATAACTCATACCCGTAAGACTGAGCTTGAATTGTTATCGACGGGGCTGACCCGACAAATGCTCTCGCTCAATGAGGCTCTACATTGATGGTACACACAGAGCGTATTTTCGTATTGTGGTGCGCGAAAATCGTGATGACACTCCTATTCCGAAGCAACGCTGAGTGAGTGAGTGAGTGCGTGGTTTTACGCCGCTTTTAGCAATATTCCAGCAATATCATGGCGGCGAACACCAGAAATGGGCTTCGCACATTGTACCCACGAGGAGAATCGAACCCTGGTCTTCAGCGTGACGAGCGGATGCTTTGACCATTAGGCTACCGCCCCGTCCCTGATCAATGCCACATATTATCAACACGAGTCGACAAAAAGTTTGCCATGGGGTGCAAAGACATCATGATATTCACCATACAAAATGGGGGTGTGGGGTAGCCTAGTGGTTAAAGGGTTCGCTCGTCACGTCGAAGACCCAGGTTCGATAACTTACATGGGTACAATGTGTGAAGCCCATTCTTGTGTCCCCCGCCGTGATATTGCTGGAATATTGCTAAAAGCGGGGTAAAACCAACCTCACTCACTCACCCATTCAAAATCAGTCTTCAAAGTCGTTTTTCTGTTTGGGATTTTTTAAAGTGCAATTTTGAATGTTGAGAATATAAAAGAACATAAGCTATAGCGGCATGGAGATGGGTGATTGTTGCGTCATGGTAAAAGGTGACGTCACAATGGTCTGGAAATTATTGTGGTCGTATTCATTGCAGGAATAATCTTCTCGAATGTAAAACATAAGAGATATATTATACGTTGTATGCTTCCCTCGAGGGTAATACGGTCTGATGTACGCCTCTTTGTAGCAGTGTCACCCGAGCCAGTACAACGTATTTATCTTACCGCCATGTTAAATGTACAAAACATCATTTTATTTAAGATCGCGACGGACTATATGACATGTAAACAAAATGGCGTCTGCCTCTCGACTGGATTTTTAAAATCAGTGAAACATATTCTGACAAGCTTAAAACAGCTATAAATTATTATGTTTAAGTTGAGTGTGCAAACCACTCAATGAATAAAATAGCTTAAATAAAGCAGTGTAAGTCGGTAAAATAAATCTGTACAAAGTGACCCGCTTCAGTTCGCCTACGGGTCAAGGAGAGGAGTTGTTGATGCCACACTGTCACTCCTGAATAATGTCTATAAACATCTAGAGACACCTAAGTCATACATCAGGATCCTCTTCGTTGACTTTTCATCTGCACGATCGCAAATAACATGTAAATATGTTCTACCACTGCACGACAAATTAAAAGATCGGTTGATCGTTGCCGCTTCTAACAGGAACGATGTCTTGGAGTGAATGAGTTTAGTTTTACGCCGCACTCAGCAATATTCCAGCTATATGGCGGCGGTCTGTAAATAATCGAGTCCGGACCAGACAATCCGGGGATCAACAGCATGAACATCGATCTACGCAATTGGGATACGATGACATGTGTGATGACCGCCCGATCCCGTTAGTCGTCTCTTACGACAAGCATGAGTTACTGAAGATCAATTCTAACCCAGGTTTTCATGGGTACATCTTGGAGTAATGTGACGGCATAGGTACCAAGTGGACGTCGGACATGCTCTGTGAAGCTCCAGTTTCCCCCCCCCTCATGACAGTTTCTTAAACAAATTTTTATTTATGTGACACAAATTATGCAATTTGTTTCTAGAGTTAGTTTGTTGTTTATATTGCAGTCCGCGTTGGTTTGATTCTTTTATGTCGATTTGTTTTTGTTTTAGATTGCAATTCATCGGTATCATTCCGTCTCAAACGGACTGTAATCGAGTTAAAAATTCAGATCAATATTCAGGCTGTCCTTTTAATCATTTTATCAATGTACAGCTACACACTGACAATTATCGCCATCCTCGATAATCTCCAGGGGGGCATGTTCCCATTTCGCCTACATCCCATTTCGCCTACAGTCTTACAACAACAATTCATAGTCTGGTGACTGGTATTTCATGCATGATATAAATGGAATCTCCCCTAGTTTTCCTTTAATTTGATTAATAGCACATGTAGACAACATGGCTTTTTGCATTAAAATAAAAAAATTGTTCTTCTTTCATGTTTTTTATTCACAGCAAATTATAGTACAATATAATACAATAATCAAAATAACACTGGCTGTTAACTAGTACACTGTACTTGAGTTCATGGATGTCTGAGTTTACTGAAGCTTCAATAAGTGACCTGCTGCGTCCAGGAGCTGAATAGGTGATCTTCTTCCACTTTCAAGTTGTTGTGGATTCAATGTTGCTGTGGAATTCAAAATGTTCTGGTGCTTTCCCACAATTTTCAGACCATTATGGTGCTGCATCTTCCTTTACATCCCTGGATCACACACTTCCAGTGTGTAGCAACAAAATGATTAATATTTGTTTATGATCACAAACTGTTGTAAGTATGTCACTGCTACTTTTGATCTTCATAGCCGTAATCCTTAAGCCAATTGCTTATATAAACACAGATTATAAGTTGACTCCATTTAAAGACAATGATATACTTATCTTTTTACTCATACATTGTGAAACTGACCTTCCTTAATTCCACTAAGTCAAGTCCATTCTCTCAATAGGGGTGCATTTTCTATTCCCTATTCGCCTACATGTTTACTGTAGGCGAAATGGGATGTAGGCGAAATGAGACTCAACCTCCAGGGGATACGTTACGATTAATCTCTATAGTGGAGATTAATCGTAACGTACCCTGGAGATTATCGAGGATGCAGACAGACAGATATTTTATTTCAGTCTCACCTCACATAAAATACATATATAAATATATTTATAAAATATAGCATATAAGTGAGCCACCCTTTAAGGGTTATGAGAGACTAATGTATTAATACATTATAAATACTAAATGCTAAATAATTATATAGGTACAAACAGTGTAAAATCTATCCGTATAAAATATGTTTTCTTCTTTGCAAGATATAAAAGCAGGTTTTGGCACTGAAATATACATGGTGTTTAAAAAGTAAAACTAATTTATCATCATCACAAAGATCTAAGAAGTTGGGATAGCTAAAACAGACATTTTCATATAAACTTTCACGCAAATCATCATACATAGGGCAATACAACATTAGCAGGCTTCCTTCCATTGTTGGAATAACAACATCGTCACTGAGGATCCCGGGCGCATATGGTTTTCACATGTGCTACTTACCTGTAACAACTGTCTGTCGTGGGAGGAATTGCTTAGAAAACACCATGTTATCACCTGTCAACTCAAAATTAACTCAAAGGGTGTTTTATCCTATGGGTGAAATGTTGCAAGGGCTTTTTGTCATGGGGCATTTAGCCTAGGGTTGTTTTGTCCGAGGGCTTTTTGTCTGAGTGGACCTATTGTCTGCCCACCATCATATTAAACGTGCAGTTTTACACACGCACGCACGCACGCACGCACGCACGCACGCACGCACGCACGCACGCACGCACGCACACACACGTACATACATACGCAGCCTTTAACAACAGAAATAGTGGTCACCTAAAACCTCAGATTTAGACCCACTTAAATAATTCATTTTAGATTCAACCATCTATGGTTCAAGTTTATAATTCATATTGGAAAAATACGTGTTTGGAAACATATAAGTTTCATCTGATCTTATCAGATAGAAAATATACAAATCTATATTTAGAATGTTCTTCGCGGGTTCGAACATGTTCTCTCTAAGTTCCGGAAACAAATTTGCCATAGCGAATCTTTTTAGAGTGACGTCCCTTTGTACACTCATTTCCTACAGCTTGGCAGTGGACATGCTGAGATCGACAACAGACATGAAAGATTCGCTCGATTATTCAGGTGATGTCAGACACGTGGTGGCTGGTGGTATCTGTTATTCTTTTCTCTAATATTCGATTTCGTGATACAAAATAACTGTACTTGCTCTTAATCCAAATAATACGACCAAAATAACAAAATCAGTCTAACGATGTTGATAAACTGACAGTGACACGATTATTAATAATAATTGCACTGATGATCCGTGTAATGGCTAAATAGAACTTTCAGAAAAATTGTTTCCATTCTATGTCCAAAACACCTGAAATTAATGCTGATTTGTTTAGGATAATACGTTGGCCGTGAAATCATGTGGATTACGAAGTGCTGCATTTACTTTTTGTTGTTTATTTTTGGGTTATTTTTGTTTATATTGTGCATGAACTGAAACCAGGTGTGAATAGAATCCTGTTTCAAGTGTGCAGTGCTTGTTACAGGAATGGGTATTGGTTGGCCATGTCCGATTAGCCTGTATTTGAACTAGTATCCAAGTCTTGTGTGTGACCTACCATGGTTGGTGTGTCATCTTATCAACAGGCATGGTAATGTGTTCAAGGTTCAAAATAACCTATTTATTATATACCCATGTAAACTTAGGATAGTATTACAGGGGTGCAATACGGATGACGTGGTCAAAGTCCGTATTGCACCCCAGATTCCGTTTTCAACCCCTGCCGGTTCTACATTGCTCTACGCTATGATTTGTTTTATTAAGTAACAGATTAATGCAAGATAAGGGGGTATATAATAAATATAGAACATCATACTAGCGCATTTGGATGTTTTGTATTGAACGAGAAGATGTCATGGGAGCTGAGAAACAACTCGTTCTTCGAACTCTCGTTTCTCTGACGAGAAGATGACGAGAAGATGTCATGGGAGCAGAGAAACAACGAGTTTGAAGATTGAGTTGTTTCTCAGCTCCCATGAAATCTTCTCGTTCAATACAAAACATCCAAATGCACTAGTATGACGTTCTATATATGCATTCACATAAAAATCACAAACAAAACTAAAACTCAACCAAAATCATTTCGAGTTGCAACATACAAATATACATGAAAGAAACAGAAAACCCAGAAGCATAACCGCACCATGCATTATCACCCACTGTGGCTTTCTAGCTGGCGTACTCGTGTCTCTTCAGATATTGTATTATTCATGGAATCATGACATCACATATAGATGAACTCGTGTCTCTTCAGATATTGTATTATTCATGGAATCATGACATCACATATAGATGAACTCGTGTCTCTTCAGATATTGTATTATTCATGGAATCATGACATCACATATAGATGAACTCGTGTCTCTTCAGATATTGTATTATTCATGGAATCATGACATCACATATAGATGAACTCCACTGGTGTAAGTAATGTACCTATACTATGTGCAACATCCTGCTTACAAGTTACATACATATTACAGTTAGAGTTATGGGATGAAGTGAATAAGGTTTTGTGCTGCTTTTAGCAATATTCTAGCAATTTCACAGCAGGGGACACCAGAAATGGGCTTCACACTTTGTACCTTTGTGTTGAATTGAACCCCAGTCTTTAGCGTAATGGGGTGGTGGGTTAGCTTAATGGTTTAGGCTGGGTTCGATTTCCCCACATGGGCACAATGTGTGATGCCCATTTCTGGTGTCCCTCATCGTGATATTGCTTGAATATTGCCAAAAGCGATGTAAAACCTAACTCATTCACTCATGGCAGTGTAATGAACGAATGCTTTAATCGTGCAGCTACCTCATCAGCCCTATAGGTAATGTGATATGTGTCACACTTGGGTCGTAAGTTAACTCAGTTAACTAAACCCATCTGTGGACCCATGGGTGAAGAGTGTAAAAATGTATAAACTACCCCCCCCAAAAAACTATCAATACCCAATGGGTACACCATTGTTCCCCTTACCATACCTATTGGTCAGTTTAACTTGCATTGAAATACTCATTTCTAATCGGTTTCCAGATTACTCAATGGACATTTTTACACAAAGTACCCGGGTGACAGAGGTTTAAATTTTATCTACCTCTCTAGGAAATGCTGATTTTTTGACAATATGACCAGAAATAATGATTATGTTAAAATATATTTATTTCCTGTTGTTTTCAACAGGATCAGTGTAAACATGATAAGGAAATTAAAATACTGTTAGTTAATCTATCAAAAATTTATCTCAAAACTGCTCACACTGTAAATTTTGTTAAAAAATCCCTACCTACATAGCATTTTGTGAAAATATCACAAAAAATATCTGAGATGTCCCATAAACTCTTTCTCTATAAATAAACTCTATAAATATCAGAAATATAATATATCAGTACTAATATAAAAAAAGTAATGGTTGCAAGAGCTGGGTATCTAGGATAAAGCATACATTAGAAGTATATGGATTTGGATTTGTTTGGCAAGAACAGATGGTTCGAAGTGAAACGCTATTTGTAAATGAATATATAGGTAGACTCAAAGTTTCGTATCAACAAGACTGGAATTCTGCAATAATAAAAGGCACAAAAACATTTGGATATTCGTCGTTTAAACCTATGTTCAGGTGTTCAGGGGTGGAAATAACCCATTGCCCGTCGCCCGAGTCCAGTGTTTTTTTCTGTCGGGCAAGCAAATTAGTATATCACACTGTACCAGTGTCCAGTTGATATTCCAATGTTAATTATGTTGTTTATTTAAAAAATCAACAAGAAAACGGCCGGAATAGTGGAAAAATTATCAGGGCAAGTGATTTTACATGTGCCACTGTACCGGAGTACACTAGCAATTTTCAAGTTATTTCCACCCCTGGGTGTTGAATCTTATATCTTCATGGTTAGCTATTCTAAACATAGACATGCTCTTGCTCAGTTTAGATCGGGGTCTCATAAACTAAGAATAGAAACTGGCAGGTATATTGGTGAGGTTAGAAATGACAGATTATGTAATATCTGTAAACTGTCATATATAGAAGATGAATATCACTTCTTACATATTTGTAATAAATATCAAGCATTGCGGTGGCTGTACATCCCTTTACACTTTTATGAATATCCAACAATCCAAAAATTTAATACGCTTCAAATGCAATCATCAAATGCAAGCATCTCAAAACATTTATCAGCATTTATACATGTATATCAAGCTATGTTACTGAGACAGTCTTCATTATAACATACTTTCTCACTCTGTAATTCAAAAAGTGTATCCCGGGCCTATGGCCTATATTACTTTTCTGAAATAAACCACCTAAACCAGTCTAGATTTTGACAAAAATATCTTTACCGAAAATACCCTTAACACCATCCAGCTGACAGTGGCTAATCTATTAAATGCATCAAACAGTTTATACAAATCATAAACACAAACAGTTTATACAAATCATAAACACAAGCAATTGATACAAATCACTCAGCATCTGCAACTTGATGACCTTTAAGAATAACGTGTGAGAGAGTTCAAAATTCATACTGAATACAGAAAGATAGGTGACCATATGATGTATGGCACACAGCAGGGCTATGTACTACTTCCTTCTCTTCTTGTAAGGGTTTTGGTGTTGTTAAGACGTCATGTAGGTTGTACAAGAATATCAAATGCTGATCTGTCTGTTATTTGCAGTCAAGAAGATTAATTCACTTTGACAAGGCAGTCATATCAGGTAAGATCTTGTTCTGTTCCTTTTCTTCTTTTAATATGTTTTTGTGTTTTATTAGCTTGTTGGGAAAAAATCTCAAAATTTGGTGTTGTTTGTGTTAAAAAATTTTCTTATCCAGGTTGTTATTGCAGATATGTATAACATGATGCAACTTGCTACTTTAAAGTGATGCATCCTGGGAAGTTGCAAATATTATGGTTTTCAGTTATGAAGTGTTTTCTAAGAGTACATTTTCAGGCTCTGACAACTTCAGATATGATAAATTTCAAAGACTAAAACAGTAGTTCCAAAATCTTGTACTTTGGGCTTTGGAGTCCCCATCTGGGATTATTTGATACCCACACTTTAGCAGAGTCAGGCACTGTTGTTGCATCCTGGGAAGTTGCATTTATGTTATATACACAAAGTATGGATTCTTGTACTTTGGGGTTTTGAGTCCCATCTGGATACCACTTCCAACCCACCTATCATGAAAAACAGGTTCTCCTTATCTTGATATCTAGTCTTATATCTCTTGCCAAATGATATTTGTCAATGAACTTAACAAAATGTTGTGCACATTAGTGTTGGGAATTGGTTAAAATCTCATAATTGATGATTGGTTCATTACAACCGATCAATCATCGAAAATAATTGGTTAGAGTCATTTATGAAATTTGTTAATGCACATAAAAATAAGGAAAAAAACCCATGTAGTTCTTTTGGGGTGTTTTGGCAAAATTTCATATCTTTAAAAGATGACTAGTATGTTAGGAACATAAATTTCTTGGAATCTTTAAGATAAATTCAATCATGACTTGAAATGAGCTTGTAGTGCTTCAAAAATATAACAGACACAAAATATACAGAAAAATATTGTAAATGAAAACAAGTGTTCCAGAATTGTTTGTGTTCGATTATGAGAAATTATGATCGATTGCTTGGTCGTTTAGTAACTACGACCAATCTTCGATTATTTCAATTAATCGGACCACCACTAGTGCACATGTATACAGCATTGCACATTCTTTGAAGCCCATTGATATTTTGACAGGTTATTTCCTTGTTTGACACAATCTCTCTGATCTTGTGATGAAAATTAAAATGGGCAGTCTGAACTTTGTCATAAGAATAGAAATGTGATTTAAATACAACTAGCTTGCTACAAATCGACAAGTCTTATCGATTCAAACAGAATAATAATTTTATTGGACTCACTGTTCTCAGACGAACTGAATATTTCCAGAAAAGTAATCAACTAAACAAGTATAACATGAATACATGACACTTTTATGGATAACAACTTTTTTATTCTTTACACGACGTTTCAGAGCTAATTCTTGCTCCTTCATCAGGTGAATGATGGAGCATTCACCTGATGAAGGAGCAAGAATTAGCTCTGAAACGTCGTGTAA